TCCGTATAAAAGTCCGGTATCGCAATTTAAATCACAGAAACGGCCGTTATCCATTTTTTCCATTATTCATTTAAACACATAATCTGAAAAAAAAAAAAAAAAAAAAACTGAAAAAAAATAATCATTGTCCACTTTTTCATTTTGATTTTGGAGACAAATAATGAAGAAAATAGTTGTTTTTTCAGTTTCTTATTTTTGTTTTTATTTTGAAAAACAAATGAACAAAAAATAAATACATGGATTAATAACATCCAGATGGCGAACCTTCTTGAAAAGTTACAGTGCACCTTTAAAAAAAACTTCCAAGAACTTCTTCACAATGCAGGTTTAGAACATTTATGACTTTCTGTGACTTCAAAAAAATGTATTGTTTTATTTACCTCTGAGCTTGTTTACTGTACAGTGTGAAGAAGGACCTAGTTTCTTGAGTGCACTTTGACCTGTTACCTGCAGTGTTCTGTCTCTTGTTTCACATCCGGGCTGAGGTGAAGTCTCCTCCTACAGAAAACAGCTGTAATTTCCCCCAGGTCTCACCTCAGTCAATGCTGGCGCTTCAGTGCTAGTGCTGTGATGAATCGTGCAATAGTCTTCCTGTTTCCTGGATGCAATTGACCCCATGGCCCAGAATGACAATAAAAAGCTTGAGCACAGTCAAACCCATGGAGGAGTTTAAAAGAGGAGCGGATACAGTAAATCAATGAGACAAGATTAAGCCAGAGGATATGGGCATGAAGAGTTACTGAATATCTTTTCACTTATCGTCATTCAAGGTGCATTGTGTAACTTTTCTGGTGGAGGGTTCGTCAAAAGCTTTCCTCCATGTTTTCAGTGCTTTGTTTGGAATGTTTCGGAGTATGGGAGACCATGGAGACCAAACCAGACCAAGTTACAGGTCAGATTTGTGGAAATGCCACCCTATAGTTACAATGCCTGTTTTTCAAGATATTTTTGAGCTATAAAACCATCTGTAATTGAATAAATATAAGATAGAGCTGTTTTATGTCACACTGTGGAACATTTCATGCAGAGTAATGACATCTCCACAGAAACAAGCAGGTGACAGACCCCAACCAAAAGTTACATAGTGCACCTTTGAACTTATTGATCTTAACTTTCACTTCTTCAGTGACATGTACCGTATTTTTTGGACTATATGGCGCATTTAAAATCCTTTAATGTTTTAAAAAATCGACAGTGCACCTTATGTATTAATTCTGGTTGTGTTTACTGACTTTGAACCAATTTTATGTGGTACAGGGTGCTCAAAAATCTGTCAAAATGTTTTAGTACAACTTTGGTAAGTTACAAAGCCGCAAACAAAGCACTAGATGGATTGTCAGAGCATTACACCTGTTGTAGTCAGGAGCCTTGCAAAGTCGTGTCCTTTAGTCCGACAGAAACTGAACCACATCAGTGCACAAGGAGCGAGCTGTTTTTTCAGAGCTTATAGTTTATGCAAATTAGCCATGTGGTTTTAAGTTTCATTTCTGTACCACGTAAACAAATGTGCAAAAAGCTGCATTAAACACATTATTACTCAATGTATTTGAGTCTTCCTCAACACCGGGTGAGTTAAGCCATGACCTGCCAATGGATCATGGATGCCTGGGCTGAGGGATCAGTCTCAAGTGTCGTCCGTTTGTTTCGCTTAATGCGCCTTATAATCCGGTGCACCTTATAGTCCGAAAAATACGGTATTTCTTTTAGAAAAAAAGTACCTTCTCAAACATGCATTCTTGCCTCTTCACAGATCTGACCTGTAACTTGGCCTAGCGGTGTCACCAGCTTGTCTCCATGGAGATAGGTATGATTTGTGCCATACATTGGACCATTCAAGCAACACAATAATCATCATGGAATCAAGGACGGTGGTTGACCCTGCAAAAAAGTTACATAGTGCATCTTTAAGCTTTGCGTGGACATTCAGATTTACTGTATCGCCAATTTATTATTTTTTTCTGTGGCTGCTATTCAAAGAGGCAATGTAAGTGAAGTGTTTCGTTATAGCCAGTAGCAGAGCTTGAACTGCTAACCTTGGAGAAAAGTATACAAAATCAATACAGACAATGCAACTTTTTGTTAAGTAACTTTGAATAACTTTGAACTTCTTCTTCCTATCACATTTTTCAGTGCTTCAAAATACCCATGAAATGCAATGAGGCGTGAATGCTGTTGATGTCTGCAGAACAAATCATAGCAAGTGTGACCTTCTCTAAAAATCTGCTCAACATGTCAGAAAATGCGCATAATAATAATATAATATAGATGTCCTTGTAAACAGGACATTTGAATTTTAACAAGAAGTTGCAGAGTGGAATAATAGCGTCAGTTTGTTGTCATGTTTTTGCAGAACATTTTAGAGCATGTGAAATTCAATTCAAAGTCCAATAGTATAGAGGTGGAAGCCTTTGATCCCAAACGTCATTATAAATAACAAAGCAGAGCGCAAAGAGAAGAGACAGGAGACACACACCGTTGGCGACATTTCTGGCTTATTTAAAGGACTGACCTGTGTTATAATGTTCCTCATCACAAACAAACCTGGAGTTGTGTTTTGTTTCATTCACATGTTAAACACACAAACCCTGCATATTTAGACTAAGTTCTTCTCTTACAGAAAAATTGTTCCACCTTGTGATGTCATGCGGTAATACAGGAAGTGCTCCACTGTGTTTTTAAACTCAGTACACCTTCACTAGAATCAATTTCACTTGCTAGGACCATGCCAACAACGACATAGTGCGAAGAAGTTTATTGATAATATACGAAGCGGGGAAGAGATGACTGGGTTGAGACTATAGGTGGGGGCTCCGTCTCAATCTTCAATTGGCCCAGCCGGAACGGGATCCCTCTTGTAGGGGTCTTATGACTGAAAGACAAAATAGGGGATGGGAGGGTGGGGCCGAATTAGCCGAGACAAACTGGGATGATGGGAAAGGCTGCTACATATAGGCTTCTGGGAAATAGGCGTGGTGCTGCTCCTGAATCTCAGTTAATCATATTAACTACATTTGTTGATTTCAGCCCCGGAATTGCCAAACTCTACTGAGCAAAAGGTTAAAAAAAGATCTTAACATGTAAAACTATCACTTCATGACATCACAAGTTGGAACAAAGCATTTTGAGCTTGGAGATGTAGACAGGCTAATAACAAAAAGTTACTCAAGCGTGTGTGAGTGAAGAAAAACACGACTCCAGGTATGTTTTTGAAGAAGTAACAGAATTATAACATGTCTTAAAGATAACAAGAGTCAATTTTGTGTAATATAGGATCTTTAAACTGTCTACTAAGTATGTTCATTCCTTTCTATATGGATTTCTCCAATGGTAAATCTAATTAAATAAAGTCTAAAATGTTCTGGCAACAGTTAATCACCGTTTTATATCACTACCCTGTGAGCACCACCGTAGCAGTGAGTGTAACATGAACTACTGTGAAGAGGGATTAGCTTCTACTAAAACAGAAATAATTACTGCTTTGAACATTCAGACGGCTAAAAGGTTGTCAGATTTAAAAGTGAACGTTGAGTTACACTGTTGTAACGCACTGCTCTTAATCATTAAAGATACATTTTTCTGGAGCGGGTCCGCAACACCTTGGGGTTCCCCTTGAGGAGCTGGAGGACGTGTCTGGGGTGAAGGAAGTCTGGGAGTCCCTGCTTAGACTGCTGCCCCTGCAACCAGGCCCCGGATAAGCGGAAAAAAATGGATGTTTGGATAGGTCCGCAACCTCTTTGTCCCCATGGAGATGTTAACACTTTGGTTTAAATTGTCCGCAGTATTGTAGTAAACTAACATTTATTCATTTATACATTTATTTATTCTACTACAGATATTATTTAATGCACAAAAAAATCTTAAAAAACATTCACTCTTACCGTGAGTGGGGTCGCATCTCCACACATCTAACCTGTAATTTGGCTTGCAAGTCTCCGTGGAGATTCTTAAGCGTGGAACATTCTAGACATATCCTCCACTGGACAAAGTTCCACAATGCACCTTTAATACAATATTTGACTCTGACCATAACACATTAGTACAGGGTTCCCACGCTTTTTCACTGACAAAATTTCAAAACTTTTCCATGACTTTTTCATTACCTAAAGTGAATTTTCCATGACTTTACAGCACCTTCATGTTTAGAATTGATCAGACTTTTACGGCTAAATATGAAATGTTAACCCATTTCCTCTCACCTTATGGTTTGGTATTATAGTTTTTTAACAGTCAAAATACTGTCAGTGCATTTATGGTTGTCTCTTCTTTTTTCAAAAATGTTTTTATTGTGTTCAAACTATCAAATATATACATATACAAACAACTGGCAGTTAACTCACAGATGTCACAGTTCTGCAGAGCTGGGGAAGAAAAAGAAATCCAAAATGCGAGTCCCCCACCAGAACAGATCCACATAAAGAATGGCACAAAAAAATGATTATAGATATGAAGAAAAAAAAATACAAAAGAAAAAACACAAAACGTAAACCAACCCCAAAAAAAGAAAAACCCACCCACCCTGTCACCGCATGGGTAGAATATTTATACATGGTGCTGTATTTAATATCGTCTCTTTTAAACAAAATACGCACATGTTTGGAAATAATCATAACAGCCTAATGAGAACTTAACAGAACGCTGCAGGTGCGTGAAAGAGATAATAAAATTCAATGACTTTTCCAGGCCTGGCAAATAACATTTTCAAATTCCATGGCATTTCCAGCACTTCCATGACCGTGGGAACCCTGAAAGTACGACAAACACATGGTTATACTGTAAAAAAAAACCCGACAGACACAGTGCATGTGGGACAGTTTTTATAAATTTAATATATCAATATATAGAGATATTTATCAACAGCTGATTTCATAGAAACGTGAGTGAGACCATTTTGGCATACAGTACAGAGAATCCATGTCAGTACACAAGTGGCTAAGTTTTAACAACCCCCCCCGCCCCCACACCCCCCTGCCCTATACCCCAACCCGCCCCTCCCACCCCCACACATAACACAGATGGACCAAAGAAGTATACAGGAGCACGAAAAAGGCACGAATAAATTAAAACAGAAAAAAAAAAATCATCTTAAACTTTTAAAAACACAGCAATGGAATCTATGGAACATAATTTAATAACATTATAATCTGCTGTTAAGAAGCTGCAAACAAAAAGACGATGGTGAGAAATAAGACTTTGGCAGATTATTCATTTTAGTTACAATCAAGTAGTAAAGAAATCCAGTGCTCTTGTGTACAAATAAATTCATATATAGTCTACACTCCCAAGGTTTATGTACAACTTTTACATTTAAAACATTATCAAAAAGGTTTCCGCAGTATGAAAAGGTATTTACAAGTTCAATGATTCAAAACTACCAGACTGTACCATTGGACCACCCCCCCCATCACATCAACCCTTATTATTTTTACACAGTGCAGAAGGCTTCTCGAAAAGTTTTGTGCAACTAACAGCGTACAAAAATGGCTGCTGTGGCCGTGGGATGACAGAGCCTCGAGTGGACAGTTCCTTGAAGGCAATGACAAACAGGTGCAGTTCAGTGACACAGACATTTGTGGGAAAAAGTAGTAGTTTTCGAAGTAAAATTCAAAATGATAGGTTAAAATACAGCATACGTCAATTTCTTTTTCTTTTTGTAAAATACTGGAAATGTAGCACAATAAGAATGTTTTGTTTGATGGTTCTTTTAATCCATTTATTTGTTTCTTGTCTGAAAAATGCCCTAAATCATTTTTTGAGTCCAATTTAAAGGTACAGTATGTAACTTTCTGAAGGTGATTCCATGGAAAGAGAAAGTTAAAACCACACGTTGGAACATTCTCCATGGGGATAGATGTGTCTTATGCCATACTGTGGAATATTATAGCCAAAGGAACAACATGTCCATGGAAACAAGCAAGAGAAGGCCCTTCCCCAGGCCATGTAAGAGTCAGTTTGTGGAGAGCCCACTCACTGTAAGGATGTATGTTTTTCTGTTTAACCCTTCCAGACATAACCATGCATAACTTCCCAATCATAAAAGACTGAAACTTGCTTTTTTTCCCCTTGAAAAGCTGACAGTTTCGTGTTTTTTGGTTTCAGCATTATCCTACGTCACACACAGGCTGCATGATGACATTGGGAAAACAAGTGTCCAATAGGAACTTTGCTTTCCACCAAGCGTATGCGCTCCATCCATTTCGATTGGCCCAAACTTTGCCAAAGAGTGTAGCCAGTCAAAATGTTTGGCTGCTTTGAGCGTCTTTGTTCGTAACAATTTAAAAAGCCACTCTACGTGCTGTTGTTTCTCAAATAAATGGCAAATTATGCATTTTGGTCTGCGTAACTGTGCATCCCTTGCCATTTTTATTTGAAAAATAAAACCTGACAGGAGCTGTTTCCATGACTGGCACAAGTAAAGTAATGGGGCCATTGCACTTTTTTTTGGTGAGGGCAATAAGGATATTTTTAGTTTACTTACAGACTTGATATTTTGTATTTTTGTAGCTAAGGCCCTAAATTAAGCATTTTATGTCTAAAAAAATAAATAAAATTACATGCTTGCTGTGTGTTTGAGGGTGAATTTTATTTTCATTTTTTTCCCATTTGTATTTTTGGTCCTATAACTTTTATTATAGCCATATATCCCAACTACAGCATGCAGATCGTGAAATAACAGGTTGTACTGAGAAAAAGGATGTATAACAAATGTACTAAAATTGCTGGAAAGGTTAATGAACTCAACTCTGCTTTATGGCAAAAAAAAAGTTACATTACAAAAAAAAAAAGTTACACTGTGGCTTTAACAAAGTCATTACTTAATTTTGTTTTGGAAAAAAGAAGGTTAAAACAAAACTAGAACTCGTAGGTGCTTACTGAAAGAGCATTTATCATAGTAATAGGATATTGTTGTGTATTGCGAGAAAAGACTAGTGCCTTGGCAGACGTCTAGAGGTTCATAATGCTTACAGTTTAATTTTCTTTCTTGTCATTTTTATGTGTTTTGGAATTGAACTACTACAGTATTTTCCCACAAATTTCTAAGTCATCGTTCACCTGTATCCTGACCCAGACAATGCATTGAATAAACCCAAACCACAAAACCTACACAATTCCCCGTTAACTTTTCCTTCTACACTGAAACTGGTATAAAAAACACCCCCAACTTTTGCCTTTCAAGTAATGTACATCATCAAGTAAGGAATGGTCTGGCAAGGGGCTAGAACGACCACAAATCACAGTCCCAAATTGTTACGTCATGATAAAAACAGCTGGAAAAGGGAAGTCACATGGTTCAAACTGAGAACAAACATACCAAAATGTCCGCCGAAAAGATCCAAGATGGCGCCTTCAGTCCATGCATTGCCAAAACCTGGTCTTCTCCTGGAGTTGGTGCAGATTCCACGTTTAGTTTATGTGCCTATTTACCCAAAGCGTGATAGCCCTTGCCGAAAATATGTCAGTAATGAAGATCATGATGGAGAAAGAAAGAATGAAAGTGTTTGATTGAAAGATACAAAGCAAGGCAGACAGTAGTCGCTAATACAGTGGATACAGTAAGGAAGTTAGGAAAGTAGTAGTTTAATAAGTAGTGGTAGTATTTTGGTTAGGAGCATAGGTTACTGTTTGGAAAGAATGCAAAGAGGTTGTAAGGGCTGGTACTTCTAGTCAACAACGTAATGCAATACTTTCAAGTCAAACATCTACAGCAGAAGTGACATTATAACCTGATATATGTTAGGATTATATATGGAGTAAAATGCAGATATAAAAAGAAAATGGTTTGCAAATCTCATGTTATATTATATATGTCACATTTTTATATTTATGCGTGAGAAGTTATAGTTTAAATTTTAAATACCGTATTTTTCGGACTATAACTCATAAATTTTTTCATGGTTTAGGATTATGGTTTGGGTGGTCCTGCAACTTATACTCCGGTGTGATTTATATATTAAAATGTTCACACTGACAGCTGTGAGAAGCCACTCTAGACTTGTGTCAGTAGCCGCTTCTACTATTACTCATGTACATCACGCTCTACTGCGCATGTTTCCTGCAGAGAGAGCCTCTGTCCTGTCTGCATCATGTCAGTTGATCGCACCATTACTAAATTTAAAGTTGAAACAAAGTTATAAAGACAACCGAAACCATCCTGTCGGGATTCAGAAAGACCAGAATAATTCTAACTGGGACTCATACTGACGACAACGACGCAGAAGAGGAAGCGGTGCTTTGTTTACCTCTGGAGGTTGCGCAGTTGCTCAGAAGTGACACAGAGGATGAAAAATTCAATGGATTTATTGATTTGGAGGGAGATCATCAGTTTGGTAATATGTTAACAGCCTGTTGTTCTCTGTTCTGTTGTTTATAAAATTATAACTTTATAAAATTAATTTCTCCCAAAAAGTTCAAATTATATATGTTTTTTTTCTTCTTCATTATACATTTTTTGACTGGTGCGACTTTTACTTCAGAGTGATTTATAATCTGAAAAATACAGTTTATCTTAAAATTTGAGTTGAGAGAAAAAAACACATAGATGATGACAGATGATTTAAAACTGAGTTTGCTATTTGATACAAATTTAGTTTGGCAAAGCAAAATATGATATAAGAAATTTACTTTTTTTTGTCTTGAATGCATTTATTTCTCATTTTTCTGTCTCAACCATTTCAGACATAATACTACAAGCAAAGTAATTATTATTAACTATCTACTACTATTATGAACTTGTAACTATTATTTATCAAGCGTCTTTATGTAATCTGGTATACTGTAAATTAATTATGAGATCTGCAAACCATTATCTCAACTTAAGACATTTTTGTTCTATAAAACTCAGTAGTAAACTATCAATAACAACATAGTAACAGTAGTAGTGGTATTACAGATGTTAATGGATACTACGAAAAGTCAAGTACTACAACAACTATAAACTCGTAAACAAAAAACGCAAATATTACGTGTAGTCTACATCAAGGAATGCTTCAAATATCCGTCCTAGCAGCGATCTGGTTCAGAAACACAGCACAATACAGCAAATACCCTTCAGTGACCTATTCTCCAATGTTATAAATATGAAACAACACGGAGACAAGGGTTCATACTGTACACTCCCAGTATGCCCGTCACCGTTTTATATGTATATGTGGACCTTCCCAGTGTCCTTCAGCAGAGATGGTCCCCAATCTACCTGCGCAATCATAATCATTTTTCACCAACGCTGCGCTCAGCTACCTCAATAAATAAGCAATCTATTCAGAAACACTATTGGACACTATTGGAGTCCATTACGGCAGAAACAAAGCCAGTGTATGTAGCAGAGAGTGTGAAGATGATTTATTCTATCAGGGGAGGGATATGTGACCTGCGTGATCTTCCCTGTCAGACTTCATCACAGTTGCCCCAGAACACAGGAGAGGGGAAAATAACTGCAATCCCAGAGTGGTCTGAATGGGGCACATACTTTACAGCTATTTTATATGTCAATTTCAACTGTTTTAGAGTATCAGAAAGTACTATGATTAAACATCATACCAGAATAGCGGCTATATTTAGACTTAGATGTATTATAATAACAAAGTAAAAATTGGAGGAAACTAGAGTAATCAGATAACCCCATAATTAGATCTGATTTTGGTGTGTGTTTACATGCACAAGGGAAATCTGATCATGAAAAACACCAGTTATGTAACTATTTGGATGACAAAGTATGATGCATTTTAAAACACCTCTTTCTTTTTACCATTTTCTCATTCAGTTTTGCCTTTGCCACGTTTGTTAGTTTGCCATTTAAATTTTTTGCATAATTATTCTTGGCCAATCAGAAAGAAATCTGATTACTCACATCAGATATAACTGTTTACATGACAACTGATATAAGTCGGATAACTCCAGAAATCAGATAATGATTAGATTTCGGTGTCCACGTAAACAGTCAGTGACGATACTAAACTGATCATAAACAGTTTAATCCTTCTGTAATGATACACCTAATTATGTATTATCAAGTAAAAAAAAACAAACTATCAAGGCATGGGACTGACACAAATAATGCAAGGAAATAAGGAACTATTACTAGAATATAACTAGAGAAATCAGACAACCCCATAATTAGACCATGTCAAAACCTGCATAGCTGTAAACAATCAGAAAGAAATCTGATTACTCACATCAGATATAACTGTTTACATGACATTTCAGTACTCAGATAACTCCAAAAATCAGATGACTATGAGATTTCTTGTCCACGTAAACAGCCAGTGATGATACAAAACGGATCATTAACAGTGGAATCCTTCTATAATGATACACCTAATTGTGTATTATTAATAACAAAAATCTATCAAGGCATGAGACTGACACAAATAATACAAATGAGAAATTAGGAAATATCACTAGAATATAACTAGAGTAATCAGATAAGCCCATAATTAGATCTGATTTTGGTGTGTGTTTACATGCACAAGGGAAATCTGATCATGAAAAACTGTTGATATGTGTTGGTAAATCAGTGGATTATAACTGGAGTATAACTATTTGGAAGACAAAGTACAATGCCTTTTAAAGTACCTCTTTTGATATTTACCATTTTCTCATTCAGTTTTGTGTTAGTTTGCCACTTTTTGCATAATTATTCTTGTCAAAACCTGCATAGGTGTGAATAATCAAAAAGAAATCTGATGACTCACATCAGATATAACTGCTACGTGACATTTCTTACTCGGATAACTCCAGAAATCAGATAATGATAAAATTTCGGTGTCACGTAAACAGCCAGTGACGATACAAAATTGATAATTAACAGTGGAATCCTTCTGTAACGATACACCTAATTATGTATTATAAAAAATAATAATAATAAAAAAAAAACTATCAAGGCTTGGAACTGGCACAAATAATGCAAAGAAATAAGGAAATCACTTCATTATGCAGAATAGGGTATGAAAGCAAAACAATAACTATTGCCAGTGGAAGACCTTAAATCTAACTGATAGTCGCTGTAAGAAATGTAGAACTAGATTTCATAAGTAAGTACAAAAAATGGAAGATCACTTTTCATGTAAATTCCTGAAACTTTTTGTAAGTATGCTATTGCATTTGCCAAACTCTAGACTTTATTCCAACCGTGCCGTGTTAACAAGTCCTCGCTGCTTCAAGTAAGTCACCATTATAAAATATTGCAAAAATCCACTGAGCATAAATTCTGATTCAGGGCTGGAAGGCATTGGCAAGCCCCATGGAAGATCCACTATTTATGCTGGTTTACACAGTTTCTTTTCAAACCAAATGAGTGCGTGCCCGTTCAGCCTTGGCGCATTACTCATCACATCACAAAAAAAGGCTGGATGTCTACATAGTCACTGACAGCACCATGGGACAGAGCCAGAACTCTGTCTACGAGTGAACCAAGGACTATCCACAACTACTGGCTTCAGTGGGTAATTAAATATAACAGTAATCAGGAAGCAAATGCCAAAGCCCTGCCAAATTTAGATGGGATTATAAGCACTGTGAAATTGCAAATTACTGTATAATTATTTTTTCTCTCATGTATCTACATTGGTGGTAGAAAGTAAAGTACAGTACATTTTTATACAGTTCTTAAGTAATTATACTATACTATTTACATATTGTTTTACTGTTCGAAAGATAACATTTTTCAAGATCATTTACATTGAAAAATTGTTCTCAAATGTATATATATATATTGTTTTTACTTTGAACACATTTCAAAGTGGCCAAATATTTTTGTAATACTTTTGTAGTACATACACTTTGTCTTCCTGTACTTAGGTAGATGTAATAATTAAGCTTAAATTTAAACTGGAAAGGCTGGACAAGCAGACTGGAATTGGCAAACTGGAAGCCAAGTGAATTTCTAATCATAATATTTTAACATTTAGTAGTAAGTCAAAATGTACAAATTTAACAGTATAGTCTAACAGTCTACGTATGTAGTTATAATGCAAACAGCAACGTGTCTGTAACAGGAATAATTCACAGTAATCAAACATTATTTTTTAGACTTTAAGTTCCCATTTGGGGTATTAATCCAGATGTGAGTTAAACCAGATATTAAACCTGATGCAAACTTTAGTTATCCAGCACAAATCTGTTATGGTGTGGGTTTGCCATGCTCAGAGATCACTCCAAAATAATGTTAACAACATTAACTGGAACAAAACAGGACGGGAAGTGCAAAGCAGTCAATGTAACAGTCCAGCAGTGGATGATAATACTAGATTCCATTGAATTATCTGTCTTAAAGTTGTAACTTTTCTTGTGAAGGGTTCGCTACCTGCTTCTCCATGGAATTGTAATAGCTTTGTCTGGAATGTTCCACACTATAGCAACCGGGTGAAGCCACCAGCACAGTTCTATCATATGTGATCTGTGGAGAGGGGAACTCACTCAAGAAAGCAAGAACAAGTATATAATGCAAGATAAATAAATTAATCCCTATAGTGTGAAACATCTCAGACAAAGCAAACACATCTCCATGGAGACAAGCACATGAAATGTTACATAGCGCACCTTTAACAATTATGTCCTTCATTATTCATTTTCTACCTCTCAGTTTTTCACATTGTATTTGCAAGTAACCCTATACATCAGCTAATCCTAACTTGTACCAAAAATACGCAAACAAACCCATGTCTGTTATCATATGTGTGCGTACCTGATACCAGACGAGGATTTACCCATAATCCTTTGCCTTTCTGCTCTGCTGCTTCTACTTAGCCCCGGGCCACTACCCTCTGGTGGCACGTCTCCTTTCACTCTCTCTCTTTCACCCCAAAAACAACCTCCAAACACAACTTTTCACAGCCAGTTCCCCGTGGCTATATTTAGCTTTGACGAGCCATCTCCAAGGGGCAAACGCAATGTATGTTCTATACCCTTCTCAAAAGACTATTCTGTTTGATTCAAGACTTCAGGAGGTTTTGTCATGTTAAAAAAGTCCTCATCAGTGCGGCGTAACCTTGACAACTTCCAACATATTTACAACATAATAAATAAAAACAAAGGATTAGGACATCCGCTATTTACAGCGCGCCTTCACAGCCCAGTGAGGTTAGTTTGAACGTGTTTTAGCAGCTTTGACAACTACAAAAACAAGAGGCAGCAAGAAGTGGAAGAAAGGAGCAAGAAAGGAGCTATTAGCAGCTAGTGGTGGTATCTATGTTAGCCAAGCGGAGGCAGAGGAAAGAGCGGTATTACACGATGTCATCCCTGCTCCTTAAAGGGGTAGTTTGAGTTCTCCCTTGCGTGGCATTGGCCTCGAGGCGGAGGTGAGGAGGTGGCGGGTGGTGGGTGGGATGGAGGAGAGGGCCGGAGATGATGGGGGTTTTGGGGGGTTGCGGAGGGGCCATGGGGGACCCTCAGGGATAACCATCATCATCCAGACTCAGAGCCACGCGCTGCAAACACCAGATAAAAAGATGGTTACACAGCAGGCCACCATAAGAGGAGAGGAGAGAGAAGGGGGGAAAATGGAGACGTGTTGTAATAAATATATGGCAGTAACATGATATCTGTAGAACAGAGAAAATCTGGGACAATTTCAAACATAATATAATCTCTACTGAAAGGGAAGTAGTACTCAAAAAGTTGCATATATAACAGGAAGTGGAAACCCATGACTAGGTTCTTTGATTGAGCCTGAGGTGATTAAGAGATAAAACCAGCGACATAATGTAAATGCACTAACAAAAATTTGAGTACCGTATTTTTCGGACTAGAAGTTGCACTTTTTTTTTAGGGTTTGGGGGGGTCCTGCGATTTATACTCCAGTGCGATCTATATAATAACATTTTCACACGGACAACCAAGAGGGGGCACTCTAGTCTTGTGTGTGAGTATCTGCTACGCCTGTTAACCCACATGCTCGCCTTGGGGTCACATTGACCCGAAGAAATTATTTTTTTTCCCCACTCTCTTGGGGCAGGTCAATCAGACCCGAAAATTTATTTTCTCGCCTGGTGAGAATTTATTTGAAGAGAGCAGGAAGGAAAAAATATTTCTTCAGGTCAATGTGGCTAATCCTGTACCACTGTCACTTCGCTCTACTGCGCATGTCTCCTGCAGAAACATTTTATAAATAAATTCCACCCAAAAAGTGTGGCTTATAGTCCGATGCGACTTACATATGTATTTTCTTCTTCATTACGCATTTTTGGCTGGCTGCAACTTATACTAAATAAAAATACGGTAATAAGTAGGCATAAGACTTCAAAATGATCTACTTTAATACTTTCAATTATTTTTCATGTAGATTACTGCGGTATTTTAAGAGTCACTTGATGTTACGGTGATGTGTCTTTCCTGCTGATTTACACGGATTTCGGCATACCTGCATTGGTAGAAGAACAGTGCCATCTGCAGTCCAACTTCTATATTGTAGTATATACCAGGTCTGAGAAAGCTGATAGGCCTCCTCATTTTTATTTATTGTCCTACGTCATCTCCGTACCAATAGAGGTAGGAGAAGGATGTCAAAGCCTTTGTAAATCAGCTGACAAGACACATCAACCTAACATCATGTAAAATTTCAAATTAATATTGCCTCCAATGGGACGATTTTGGTCCCATTTTTAACAGTACTCTGAATTGACGTCAAAAGATCTAATGCAGCCAGTTTCTCCTATAATAAACTTGCACCTCCAGCATTTAAATATCTGGTTTATTGACTTAAAGGCACATTGTGTAACCTGCTTTTCTCCATGGAAGTGTAAGGGCTTTGTCTGAAATATTTCACAGTATATCATTAAAACTTTTTACCGTCATGGAGACCAAACCAGACCAAGTTACAGGTCAGATCTGTCAGAGTCAGAATGTTGTTTTTCTAGGTATTTTTGAGCTATAAAACTACCTTTAATTGAATAAATGTAAGCTAGATCTGTTTAACGTCATACTGCGGAACATTCCAGGCAGGGCAATGACTTCTCCGGAGAAAAAAAGAAGGTGATCGACCTCCAACCGAAAAGTTACACAGTCCGCCTTTAAACCTCGTTATTATTACAAGCCATTTATCTTTCACCTTCCTCTGATCCTCCTTCCTTGTCATCTTGCAAACTCGCCTTGGGCTTGAAAATACGGGAAAATGTCTGTCCTACCTCATGCCAACCTGATTTTCCTCGGCCGCCTGAGCTACCGCGCCGCCGTAATAAACGTGCACCAAGATAAGCAGGTGCAAATTGACAGGAGACAAAGCTGCACCTAAAACAATTAAAGGAATGACAAAACTATCAGAGAACCACATTGGGGTACTGTGTACACGGGGGTCCGCTGGGGGGGGCTCGTGACTTTGACCTTGAATTTTCATATCAAACGCGCACCTGTTTTTATACATGTGCGGGTGAGTGTGTCTCTTCAGTCCCGGTGCCAGTGATACCCAGAATTCCTTGCTTTATTTTTTTCCCCCCTCTCTCTGGAGCAACACAAAGAAATCTGTGTTACTATGCCAACCGATCAAAGCGTGCCAAGCTCCCCCTCCCGTCCTCCCTCCCGTCTTCTCATCACCTATAATCCTTTTTGGCTACCCTATCCACAGCTTGCGTTACTGTAAAAAACAAAAACAAACGCGTTAAATAAGTGTCCCTATGATAAGTCAATTAGGTGCACTGGATTTAAATCATTGTTGTTTGCGCATTGGTTTGAAAGCGGGGGTTTGCGTTGCCAGATACCGCTCGCACCTCGACATTTTTCAAGCTAATTTTCCCCACAAGTGCACTTAGATGAATGAGGCAAGCAGGATAACACTGTCCTTGGATCCAATCAATGCCGCTATTCCATACATCATGTCTCATCTATTCCCCATCTCCCAAAATAAAATTCATATGGCACACTAGAGCAATATTATAACGTTACCACCCACTCCAGAAATCCAATTTGGGGCCATATTGTGGTATTCAGTATGAGAGAATATAAATGTAATTCTCACAAAGCTATGAGGATTTCAGAAGCATGGAAAAATAGATGAGAGATGGGAATTTGTGCATTTCATTTCCTTGAGTTGTGAGGATGCAGTTAACATTATTAGCCCTGGATCCTTTCTACCAAATCTTTTTTTCTGTACAATATTGAAATGGTTTCACAGAGCATGGAGTATTAGACAAACAACATTAATTGAAAGTGAAAATTGATTACCGTATACAGATTTCAGAAACGTACTAATCATAATGGTAAGAGAAAGAGTGGGTGCTGGTTTGATTCCTAGTAGTAGTGCTTCTATCTCCTGATAGAATTGCCTTCCATATTGAAAACATTTGTTAACTCTGGAGGAATAATGTAGCTCTGGGACAGGTGAAGTATTCCAGAGTTCAAAGCTTTGAAACACAATGTAACCGAGAAGATTGTGGGTTGAATTTCTAGAACGTGCAAGGGGCTTAGTGTACACTGCCCTACAAAGGCAGAATGCCATAACATCATGTTTGGTCAAGTCATTTTGGGGGTATTTGAGACCTCCTTTAATATGTGAATAAATATCGTGAAAAATACTGAACTCAAAATTGACCTTTGACCCTTATTTGGCAGTTCCTGTACTCTGCCTTTGTATCATATGTCAAAAAAGGAGTCGTCCAAAGGCAAAAAGCAGTAACAGTGCATGTTTTGCTTGTGATTTAGTACATAAATATACTTTATTTTCAAATCCAACCTTCCGCCTCCTCCTTTTTGTTGCGGCCTTGGAACAGCATCTTAACACATTCAATAAATAAATATATCTATGTATTCAATTATACTTAAACTATCTTTAATATGAAAGCATTTTGTGTATTTATTCATACTGTACATACTATACTGCAAAGTAACTTGTCTGTCAAACTGTTTAACTGTCTAAGTGTCACTGCACGATCCTGATCAGCACTAAACAGGAAATCCAAAGCTCTTCTATATCATTTCAAACAAACACCATGATGACTAGACCTTGGTGAGGTGTTTTTCTAATGTAGACATGTCAAACACAGGCCCGGGGGCCAAATTTGGCCCACGATATAATTATATTTGGCCTGCAAGACCATATCAAATATGTATTAGAGCTGCCTGCCGGCTACAGATAGACTATAGAGACATTATTTATTAAAAATGTTGTTATTATTTTATATTTTGCTTGTTCTGGATTCAGTGTTTAAGCAAAACTATTATTAAACATTTTAATAAGAAAAAGTTTAACATTACATATGTCGAAAGAAGAGAAAACATGCAGATGATGTAGAAATTTTTCAATGAATATTTAGTTTGGCCCACAATGTAGTCCCTGTTTTTAATTTGTCCTTCTGTGAAGTTGAGTTTAACCCCCCTGTTCTAATGGATGTAAAGCCTGGTGAAAATAATAATGTCAGTTACTGCCTTTGCACAACTCCTTATTTTTGACACATGACACAAAGGCAGAGTACAGGAACTGACAAGTTCAAACTGACAAGGGTCAAAGCTCAATATTTTTTGCATTTCTTCATTATAACAACTAGTTGTCACATTTTGGAAGCCCTACCTATTGTAGTTTTGTCTGGACTAAACAGAAAGGAGTTAAGGTCTTTTGCATTTGTAGGGCCATACAGTTAACAAGCTCCCCCTCTGCTTTAAGTGTATAGATTTCCTATGCATTTTCAGTCTAGAATACATGTGTAATAGGGTACAAAACAACCTATAACCCGTGCTACTTTGATACGTTGGATGGCAAAAAAAACTCTTTTCTTTACTTTACTATCCACTACTATCCACTGTATTAGCACACTGCATCTGCTGCTTTCAGACAGAAAATTACTGTCTTTGAACAATGGCCTCTGACAGCTCTGCGCTTACCACATGCGGCCACTGTCTTGTGAAGATATTTATGGAAAAAACAGAAATCGTTTACTCTCAAATAACACAAAAACATGGAGTTGTTGACATGGTGATGATAAATGCATGTGCTATCTCGCTCGCTGAATAAATGATAACATGTGGTGCAGATATGAATGGCTGGTGTCTCCACTGCAGACTTGGGCAAACAGCGTGTGCCTTAGTCCAGTTCTTTCAGACCCTAAACGAGTCAAACCTCCTTTTGACCTTCGCCCCGTCACTTTTTGGTCAACATGGGCGCTCCTGAGTACCAGTGTGAGTTATTGTCAGTGATACCTCCCCCTAGCGGCAGGGCTATGAACGGCTGACTGTGACCGCCACCTACTGGAGGGTAGACGTGCCCGATGGACTCGCTGTGCCGGCCGATGTGGATCTCGTCGTCGTCGTCCTCGGTGGTCTTGCGGTAGACGGGGTTGTCGAAATTCATGCTCTTGGTGTTTTTGCGACGCCAGTTTCGCCAGACCAGGTACCCGCCCGTGCAGATGAGTCCGATGACCACTGTGGCAAGGATAGGTACTGCATGTGGTTCACACACAAACACACAGAAGACAACAGCACACGGCGGGAGCGTTAACACAGCCCAGGGGACACACAGCGGCGATTCAAAGCACTTTCATTCTTACAGTGAAAAAAAGCATCGTGAAGGCTCAAAGTTTTCAGATTGTAAAATTGGCCTCGCTGTTACAAGTGTCGGTGTGTGACTTACAAAACAAAAGATGAACTCCCACGCTGAAACATTAGAGGCAACATTAAGTGGGTAAGAGGAGTTTTTGAAGCACGCTGTATGCAAATAAGAAGTGCTTGGTTATGCTTTGTTGACTGGAAAGTTCAGGGACTTGGAATAAAGCTAATGGAACACAAACAGATGTTATAAAACTAAAAAAACTAACTAAAGAAAGTGAATTTTATTACAGTTAAACCTAGGATGTTCAAGATGTGCTGTGTAACATTTGAGTGGATGATCTGCCACCTTGCTTCTTGCTATTCCACAATATGACTATAAACTTATCTCCATGGAAACAACATTGGGCCAAGTTACAGGTCTGACGCTTACAGTAAGAATATTTTTCAAGATATATTATTTTTTACAATGAAAACACATTTAATTGAAATTTAAATCCGCATGTTGGAACATTCTAGATTAAGAAATGTCATCTCAAGCAGGAGGTGGATGTCCAATAATAAAAGTTACATAGTGGAGCTTTAAAAATAAGACATTGTAGTATAGAGCAGACATGTCAAACTCAGGCCCGGGGACCAAATTTGGCCCACGATATAATTATATTTGGCCTGCGGGATCATATCAAATATGTATTAGAGCTGGCCCGCCGGTGACAAATAGGCTATAGAGACATTATTTATTTAAAATGTTATTATTATTTTATATTTTGTTTGTTCTAGATTCAATGTTTAAGCAAAACTATTATTAAACATTCATTTTAATAAGAAAAGGTTTAACATTAGAGATCTCGAAAGAAGAGAAAACACACAGATGTTGTTGACATTTTTCAGAAAATATTGAGTTTGGCCCACGACTTAGTCCCAGTTTTTAATTCTGGCCTCTGTGAATTTGAGTTTGACCCCCCTGGTATAGTGTTTAAAATAGCTGCAAGTCACCGACCAATACAGAGTTAAAAAATACAACTGTCAGTAGCCAATTTTCTCAAACTTTTTGACATGTTTCAATTTAAAATGATTTGATTCACTAATAATATATAAACGCTTGTACAGTATGTAATTTGTAGTGGGAATAAAATAAAATGGTTTCCTGTAATTTGCATCAATAATGTCGTTTGGTGCACAGTGCGAGGCCAACCAGACGCCAACCAGCTCAGCAGTGTAATTGATGTGTGTCGAAATATACACACGTGAAAATAATGAGCCTTCATTTGCTTCTGTCAATCTGTTTCTGGTCTTTCATTCAGAAAAAAATACAACAAATCTAACACACACATATGGGTGGATATACTGCTGACATGCACAGTTTATAAATGTGCTTTAGCAAACAACTTTAAGTGGACACAGAAGCAGGCAAGCAGCATGAAGAAGAAACAGCTAATAAGATTTAAAAAAAAAATACTATGACTCAATATCAAACTAGTATTGAAACTAGTCACTGAAAAATTATTAATACTGGAGGAAAAATGTCAAAATTTCCTGAAGTTTCTGAATGTTGTTGACAGTACTTGTATAAGAGTACATGGTAATATTAAAGAAACTACTACTATTCTGTGTTAAAGGGCTTATATTACTTTTTTTCTGATCTAGGTTATAATGCTGTTTCCTTATCACAAACGTACCTGAAGTTGTGTTTCATTCAGACGTTTAACACACAAACTCTGCATCATTAGGCTGAATTCTTTTCTCAAACAGAAAATGTCACAGGAAGTGCTCCACTGGGTTTTTAAACTCCATATGTCTTCACTTGACTCAGTTGGATAATTTCAGTCCTGGAAGTGCCAATCTTTATTGAACTAAAGGTAAAAGGAGCTGTTAACATGAAAACATCACAAGTAGCGTTTACAGCCCTGACAGAGAACCGTGCCTGTGCTGGTTCCCACACCTAATCTCGAACCAGCTGATCAGATATGTTTATGCCGAAAGTCAGAGCGTTTGGGAACCGAAAAGTTGGTCCGAGCCTTCTCCACAGCAGATGTTGTAATATAGTTTGGCACAGATAAATAATGATTTGTATGAGTACAAATGCTCGCTGGTGTCGATGATGCAATCCATGATTGTTATTGTCATTGCTGTGACTTTTGTATGGCCTTGTTTTTATTTGGTGGCAAATCCACGTCCTCTGTCAATAACACATCATGGGTTCGCTTAAATGGTTTGAACACGGGTCGTTCACGGGTAAGCACTTTGATTCCCAATGTATCTCGTGCGGGAACCTGCACTGGCACCGTTCTGGCCGGTCGGAAAACAGCTAAGGTGGAATAAGGCATTTTGAGCTTTGGAGATGTAAACAGACTAATACTAATAAAGGAATGCTCAAACATGTGTAAATGAAACAAAACACAACCCCAGGTATGTTTTTGAGGAGGTAACAGCATTATGACTTAAAGCTCACAAGAGTCAATTTTGTGTAATATAGGATATTTAAAAACATAGTAAAAAAGTGCTTCTTATCATCAAAATCAAAATAAAATATTGAGCGTTTTCCTTTTGAAATCAGATGTGAAATTTAAACAGACCATTTAAAGTGAAATCTTAATCACGAATATATTTAGCACTCGCATAATTCCTGCTTTAATTAACATGATCTGAATATTCTGGATTGCAGAGGGCGACTGGCGTGATCTCAGAAAGATATCAGGAGACAAATTGTTGCATTCCAGATAAGCTTTGCCTCTGCTATCTGATTAGCATATCGCCATGGTAACCTGGATGCCATGTAGGAAGTCCAGGGCTGCGTCACATTTTTTCCCCCCTCGCTTTCTTCTCCTTGATTCCTCTCCTCGATCTTCCACTTTCAGCCGTCTGTCAAATGCGTCATATTAAGCGGTGTCCCAAAGAAAACCGCGGAAGGAAGGAGAAAACGCGAGGGAGGCTTCAGAAGGCAGGCATCAGATAAAAGAATCAAACTTTATTGGTCTCAGTGAGGAGTTTACATCCTCTCTCCTCCCTGTGTCTCCTCTGTGGGTCGGACTTCCTTACATATTTCCTGCAGAATTGAGGAAAGGAATCAAGGAAAAGGAAGCGAGGAAAGAGATAGTAGGCTACAGTCCAAAACGGAGAGTAAAAAAGATGAAATGTGTGTTTGTATATGGCATCCCTCACACAAGTCTCTAGCAGAACAGTCTAATTGCCCTTTACTTGGCCAGCCCCTGGAGATCCCTGTGAAACGGGCCTGGAAACCCCTCGTACTCTTTGTTCTTGGAGCTTAAAAAAACATCAGCTTTCCCCGCTCATTTAGGAATTTTCAGAGCAATTACGGAGACTGGCTTTGGCTTAAATGGTGCTAATCGTCCGCCTCCGTCCCCCCATTGGAAGCGTGTGTGGGCGGGGAGCAAGAGGGGGAAAACCCAGAATCTGGTCCTTAAAGATTCCCAACAGTAATTAATGTTTCAAAGCTGCCAAAATGGAGGATGGAGAAGATTTATGGCATTCATAAACAGTGAAACAATAGAGGAATAGAGTGTAGTGGGTTCAGACTCTCTTGGGTATAGGTCTAATGAGGGGATGTCTAATTTGTCTGCAATAAAAGACCAAAAAAGTGGATCTGCAATAAGCTTCCATAACTTATCAAACTGTTCAAAATGGTCCATCTCAATTAGTGACATATATGAAAGCGATATAAGGATTGTGTCTCAGCACGAAGTAATAATATGCATTAAATCTGAATGTGAGAGTTTAATCTAAGCTAATGAATATATATTAACTTTGGGTGATTAGAAAAAGTCTGTGCTCTGTTCCTAGGGTCTCTTTCTGGGTATCTTTTTACATTTTTACATGTGTGTATATGAACACTACTAATCAAAAGTTTGGATACATCATCTCATTCAGAGTTTTTAGTTTCTGTATTTTTACTAGGGCTGGGCACAGTAATGCATTAATTTTGAGTTAACAAATTAATTCATTATCGCAACAATTATTTTTCTCCCCTTAACGCAGTTTTTATTATTTATTTTTTGAATTTTGAATTGTCTTATCACCGGAGTTTTATGTGTCTGAAACGGATCCCGTACACGCATCACGATCATGCACACGCATCCCGCACACAAATCCGGCACACGCATCCGGCACACGCATCCCGCACACGCACTCTGCACACAGATCCCGCACATGCATCACAATCATGCACATGCATCCGACACACGCATCCGCACACGGATCCCACACACGCATCACAATAATGCACACGCATCCTGCACACGCATCACACATCACAATAATGCACACGCATCACAATAATGCACACGCATCCTGCACACGCATCACACATCCTGCACACGCATCCCCACATGCCTCACGCATCCCGCAAACGGATCCTGCACACACATCACGATCACGCACCCCGCACAGCGCGTAGGGCACCAAGAGCTTTCAAGGCACCACTTGTGGTCCATTGCTCCTTGTTGCAACCCAGTGAGTGAGATTCTCCAAAGGAAGAAGTATAAACATGGACTTTACAGACTAGTGCCCTGCGATTGTATGTGAAAGAAATGCTGTTTGCACAAGAAATGTGTGGCACTTTCATTTACATCTCCAATAAAAGTGCGCTATACGCTACTTTTTAATTCATTAATTGGTTTTGCGTATATCATGCAATTAATCATAATTAATCACAGGAACTCATGCGTTTAATGCAATTAATATTTATATATATATTTTTTTTGCCTAGCCCTAATTTTTACAGCTTTCTACTATTGTATATATACAGAAGACCTCAAATATATGAAATAAAGAAAAGAAGAATGCTTTTAAAAAATTTCTATCAAAATCCTCAAAGTAGCCACCATTTTGCTTTCTTTTATTTAGCTTCTTTTTTTTTTTTTTAACAACATATTCCCATATATCTTGCTTCATACGTTTAATGTCTTTCGTATGCATTTAAAATGTAGAAAATGGTTAAAAAAAATAGATAAAAAATGTAAAGTTAGTGAACGAGAGGGAGTGTCCAAACTTTTATTAAACTCTAATTTGAAATTGGACTTGGAGGGCAGGTGAGAATTCTTTGAAAAAATTTCCTGTTTCACTGTCAAAATGACTTTTTTAGTCTGTTTTATAGGCTAGTTATTTCTTTGGGTATTTCAATCAAAAACTTTGCCTCTTCCAGTTATAAAATCCCCAGTCCTCCATCTGAAATTATTACAGCAAATTTAAGCATGGTGCCTGTAATTTGTTAATCTTTATAGTTGTCATTATATAGTCATTTAGTCAATTAATCTGCCATTTAATTAATAAAGAGATTAAGTATTTATTTATTTTACAAATGATTCCATTAGGATTACAAGGATTATTATGCCATTATGCACAAGGTCAAAAAGGAGAATGTGGAGAATGGAATGAGTTGGCTGGTAAAATTTGGGAGAAACTTAAATAAAAATGCTGTTTATCAGTACTTACTACTCTATACATATTAGTTTCTTGTATAAAAAAAACTACTATGTTCAACTACTTAGTTGAACAAGAGTTTCTTTAGTTGACTACAGCTGTACTGAATCTTTCAAGAATTTTATGTTGTTTTCTCATCAAAACCATACCTGGAGTTGTGCTTTGTTTCATTCACACATTTCATTTAGAATCATTTGGATAATTTTAGCCCTGGAATTGCATATCTCGACTGTACTAATGGTAAAAGGTAGTTGTTAACTTGAAAACTACCAGTACATGAAGGATTACCATGTGTGAATGAAACAAGACACAACTCTGGGTATGTTTTGATGAGGTAACAGCATTATAACATGGCTTAAATCTTACAAGAATTGAGTTTGTGTAATGTAGGATCTTCAACAGAACTGCCAGGATACGCTTAACTATGGAGAATAATTTGTCAAAAAGAGAAACATTAATTAGTAGAACCATAACTTAAAAATAAATCATTCTCTCTTACTCTTTGTTTTGACCCTAAACTAAACATCGTCAGTGTAAATAGGTCAGTGAGATAAACCCATAGCACAGAAGTGAATGGGGGCAGTAGATGAATACATAACAGTTGGTCAGAAGTGATGACGAGCCTGGATTCCCTCATTTGTCCTAATCTCTCCTAATGACACATCCCATTATCCACAGTTTGGCTCCAGCCTGATCACTCACTTGAGCGGCTCTCTACAGGGCATTGCCGCAGGTCACAAAACTGCTGTGAGCTCTGAGAGACGCTACTGACAAGATTCTATAATGTCTGGGCAAAAATGAAAACTTATATTAATACAATCAATTTAGAAATCGACTGATGTGTGTTTTTTTTTTTTCATGGCTGATGACCAATTTAAAATCCAGAGCTACTGATGTCTGATAAGCTCTGGTAATATTTGTAGGCAGATATACAGGGCCAGTTTTGATTAATTTCCTCAGATTTTAGCTTTTGAATTTACTTCAAACTCATCCAAACCCATGTTTTGCCACAAACTTCAAAGAGAGCAGTATAGTCACATTCAGTGCAGTTATCTCTTCACATTAAAGACTGAAAATAAAACTTTGTGTGTTTGTCGTAGGCATCAAATCAACCAAAACAAAATATTGGGTTTTCCAGGACATTTAAGGCTGATTTTCTCTAGAAATATTTTGGTTGGTGTGAACTGAATCCATACACACCACTATAATGAAGATATTATTGTAACATTTGTCATTTATTGTTGTGTAAAGTTTTTCACATAGACAGTTCTGTGTTACGTTTTTCACACAATTAAGTAAAATTATACAAATCTAAGAAATTTAAATTATGATTATGATGTCAGTATAAAGTTAAAAGTTTAGTTTAAATGTTAACGTATACTTATAGGCAAAAAACTTGTGGTAGACAAAAAGGTAGGGCTGAACTATCGTTTTGGACCGAAAATCGTGATCTCAGACAACACGATTTTGGAAGCATCAAATCCACGTTGTTGCAGTACTCCTGAAGTAATTTATGGATTTACGGGTCTATGTGACGCGAAGTAATTCACCGCCACAACGCAAGGATGCTGGGATTTATACCTGGCCTGTCACAAAAAGAACACACATATTACACTCAGTTGTGTCCATTAGTCTGATAGAAGCTGACGGCACCAGCGCACAAGTTATGCAAATAGTTTATGCCATAGTTTATGCAAATTAGCTATGTGGTTTTAAGTTGGGGTGTAAAGACATTCAAGTCTCTTGATACGGTATGAACCTCACGGTACAATATTTATTGCGATATCGTGGGAAAGCATGGGAGGCTCACAATTAGGGATGTAACAATATCCAAATCTCTCAGTACAATATTTTCACTATATACATCTCACGGTATGATATTTATTGTGATATTTTGTGAAGGCTAACAAAACTGTGAATATGCTACTTTTTCCTCTTAAAATGTCTTGACAAGATTTAATCCAAAGAACTACGACTTAAAAATGCTTAGAACTGTTAATTCTTCTTGTAGTCTACACTGAAATGGCGCAAAGGATCATGGTTTGTGTAGTTCCCTCTGTCTTTTTTAGCTATTGCTGCAACATAACTCTTAATTTAAGCAACTTGTAATTCAATATATATTGTGATGGTCCATGATATTATTGTGAGAACTTTGACGATACGATATCACGATATTTCGGTTATTGTCACATCCTTAGTTTTAAGTTTAGTTTCTGTAAAATGTAAACAAATGTGCGCAAAGCTGAATTAAACACATTATTACTCAGTGTATATTGAAAGAAGGGAAAGCGGAGTACTGGAAATGTCTGTAGAGCGGTGGTAGAGATGACCAATCACAGCCCTCATTGACTGCATCTTGCGTTTGGACATAGTTATGGTTGAGCATCAACTCATCGGTGCAGCACTCTGGTATGATGCAAATTTCTGTGATGTTTGTAAATGCTCATGTGCACCGAAACTTGATTTGAAAAAAAAATTGTGGATGAAATCGAAATCGCAATTCAATTTTTTCTTAAAATCGTTCAGCCCTACAATATGGTAAGTAATTATTAACAAACGACAAATGAATAGTACCATTTAACATTAGTGCACTAGTTTCCAACCACTCAAAACGACACAGTCACACACGTACCTCCACAGTCACCTGCAGCATGCTCACACGAAGCAAGACACAAAATGGAGGACGAGGAGGGAGAAGCCCAAAGCAGAGACAACCAGAGGCCCGCATACTCACCGATCGGAATGACAATCCCCAGCACGGCCACGGTGATGTTGTTCCCTATGAGGTAGTGATCACTGGCAGCTGCATCCGAAACAACAAGACACAGAGAGAAAAGATAAAAGTTTAAACTCCAAACACGATCCCTAAAGAAACGCCAGAGGGAAGGAACCAGTCTACCACGACACAAAAGCACCCTGCTGGAAAGTAAAAAACATTAGCATAAAATAAAGACAAAGCCATCTGTCTGTCCATGTGTGAATGAAAAGAGACATCATTTCAGAAAGACACAGGAGTAAAATGAGATGTTGTAATGCAAAAGATGGTGGGTGAAGTTTGCCAATGTATCGCCAGGGTCATTACTGACGCAAATGCAAAATGTAAAAATGTAAAAATGTGCACTTCCTGATACAATGTCTTTACTTGTAGTGTTAATACTAAAATGTCAAACTTGATTTCAGTACTAAGGAACAGACTCAATACTCACTAAAGGTTTCAAAACCACAATAATAGTAAAAAACACATGTTAAATCGTAGTATTTTCTTTTATAGTACCATAATCTCTGGACTATAAACCGCTCCTTTTTTCTCACACTTTGAACCCTGTGATTTATAAAACAATGCGGCTAATATATGGGCAGATTATTTGTTTGGCACATTGTCCATTCATATATACGGTCTATGGTTTGGCAACAGACTGGATGCGCGCGCAGACTGAGTGCAGAAAACGCTGCAGGTCACACATGGATCTAGGGTTAACGATCTAGGGTTACGAAGTTGCAGCATCAGCTAGCGATGTTGTCAGCGCACTCAAATAGTTTATTGCTGTGTGATAAAATAAGTTATGATGCTAAATTAACATTAGTGAGTGGGATACGTTTTACCGTATGCAATAAATGCAGGTGAGTGTGTAAATGACGTGAAGAACCGTCTCAAACTAGAATAGCCGCACATCCACTCATACCTGATCTATACAATTAGCCCCACCCCCTGGGAGAGCCTGAAATCTGCTGAAATCCTACAAGACACTGACATGATACAGGCAGCACAGCGGCTCTTTCTGCAGGAGACATGCGCAGTAGAGGTCGAGGAGAGACGGGGGTGATGCGCTGAGGAGTTTGACTGTGTTTTGAACAGTTATTTTGCGATTCATACACACACCCTCCTCATGGAACATACACGAAGAAACTGCAGATGATGCAGCGTTTAAGTTAAGGGCAATTGTCAATGTGGCAGTTGAAGGAAATAGAGCTGCTGCACATGAGCTCGGCATCAGTGAGTCGATGGTGAAATTTTGGTGACGGCAGCGTGACGAACTGACTCAATGTTAAAAGTAGAGCCCGACCGATATGGATTTTGCTGTGGCCGATATGAAACCAATATAATGGAAGTTGGAGCTGCCGATAGCCGATATAATCACCGATATATTTAGTGATGTAAAAATTCACTGTAAATGTTGAATTGTTTAAAAAACTTAGGTTTGGCTCTGGTGGATTTTAAATTGGGTTTATTTAGGCAACATTTATTGTTATTCTGCCTCTTTACATCATATTTACAGACAGTAGGTTGACTTAATGGCATTTTTGCATCACATTCTAGACACTAGTGATGGGTATTCCAGTTCTTTTTAGAGAACCGGCTCTTTTGGCTCGGCTCACTAAAAGCTGTTGGTTCTTTTGGCTCCCAAGTGGCTCTTCAGATTGTTTTGTTGCAAGCAGGACTAAAGCACGTCTAAAGCAGGACTGAATCAGGACTGAACCAGGTCTAAACCAGGACTGAAAAAGGACTAAACCGGGACTTATTTATTTTATGCTAAACTACAGTCAAATATGCTCGTTTTTTTTTATTTTTATTTTTTTTAATCCTACGTACACGCAAATTTCTCAAAGTTTCGTTTTTAGCCGCTGTCAAACCACGAATCTGCACGCGGCGTGAAGAGAAAAAAAGTGAGAGAAAGAGAAAACACGGCTCCCAATAAGGATCAGGCTCCCGTCGTTCCCTTCAAAGAGCCGGTTCTAAGAGTCATTTCGTTCGCGACCGACCCATAACTAGTAAAGAAACTAGCGCTATTAGCCTTTAGCCGTAAATACGTGCGCGCCGCGGTAATTAATTATATGCGCAAATGTCATAATTCACACGTCTATTCACAGCTCATTTACATATCAGTGCAGGTCCAGTAGCAAATATACGGCCAATATAGTCACTTTAGAACAGACCAATAGAAAACAGTCTGTTTATGTGCGGGAGCTACAGCAGCTAACCCATAACAAATGACAAAAACTAGCTTCAGAGTCGACATATTTCCAACACTCACCGTTCATACAGGCTCCTCCTCACATCACAAATCTGCACTAACAAATGTCCTTTTAATCCAGACTCAAACCGATTGTCCGTAAAAAGAATATAATCTCAGTGTTTGGATCTGTGTCTGCAGGTGTAAACAAACACACGTGAGTGACGCGACTCTGTGGTGTGTTCAGGGACAGTACGGACACACACAGACAAATGACTCCGTAGATAAATACTGATGTGGAGCCGCATATTAGGACATTTATCTGTCTGTAAATTGGATTAAATGAACATAATGTAGAGAGTCTAAGCTTTATAACGAGGTATAACATGCCCACATGAAATATCGGCCCCTATCAGCAAGCATATCGGCCAATAGCCGATATGCCTAAAGTTGCCAATATCAACCGATAATATCGGCCAACCGATATATCGGTCGGGCTCTAGTTAAAAGATGACAAAAGCTTTGGGGGGTGTTTAAAAGCAGATAGTCTGAACTTGAAAACTTCTTTAAGACGTGGACACCAGCGGCTTATATTCGGATGTGGTCTATATATGTACAATTTTAAAATTTAGTTAAAATTTAGTTGATCTGTCTTATATTCAAGTGCGCTTAATAGTGTGGAAATTACGGTACTATCTGTGTAATGCGTCAGTGGTCCAGGTAGGTTCCGTAGTGACCCATGGGTGTATACTAGTCTATGTGCTCTTCTACTTGTACCTTATCTTTAATAGTTTGTGCATTTGCGTAACATTGTGTATTAATTTAATCATTATGAGTTCCTTTTTGTACTCATGGACACTGAAATTCTTTTATCTATTTTAACTTTTCACTTCATTGGATTTTTTTGAGAAACATCTAACACATTTGTGATGATTATACAGCCAAAACGTTTTGTACTTCTAGGCTGTGCTATTAATCAAATTTTCATTTAATCTTGATCAAAATATTTGGAGATCGCAATGTTCACATTGGGGCTTTTGAAACGATGTTTAATCTGTCAATCTAGTGCCAGTGAAAGCATGTGATTTTAATTACACTTTCTGTACTGTAGTGTCTATGTCCCTGTGCCTTATTTTTAAAAGTCTGATTTATTTGTTTTATTGACAAAATTTAAAGGTGCATTGTGTAACCTTTCTGGTGGAGGTTTCTGCCAAGTGCTTTTCTCTGTGGAGATGTTATTGCTTTGTCTGGAATGTTTCATAGTCTGGTATTAAACTTTTCTATCATCATGGAGACCAAACAAGAGCAAGTTACAAGTCAGATCTGTGGATCTGTCAGAATGTTGTAGGTATTTTTGAGCTATAAAACCACCTGTAATTGAATAAATGTAAGGTGGAGCTGTTTAATGTCATACTGTGGAACATTTCAGGCAGAGCAATGACATCTCCATAGAAACAAGGGTATGGAACCCAACCAGAAAGTTACACAGTGTACCCATCCATCCATTTTCTTCCGCTTATCTGTGGCCAGGTCATGGGGTCAGCAGTCTAAGCAGGGACTCACAGACTTCCTCACCCCGTACACTTCCTCCAGCTCCTCCGGGGGGAGACACCAAGGTGTGTTCCTAGGCCAGCTGAGAGGCATAGTCCCTCCAGCGTGTCCAAAACACCTCCTGAGGGAGGCGCCCAAGAGGCATCCAGAATTTATGCCCGAGCCATCTTAGCTGGCTCCTCTCGACGTGGAGGAGCAGCGGCTCTACTCCAAGCTCCTCCCGTGTGACTGAGCTCCTCACCCTATCCCTAAGGGAGCGCCCACTCACCCTGCGGAGGAAACTCATTTCGGCTGCCTGTATCCGATCTTGTCCTTTCGGTCATTACCCAAAGCTCATGACCGTAGGTGAGGGGAGGAATGTAAATTGACCGGCAAATTGAGTGCTTTGCCTTTTGGCTCAGCTCCCTCTTGCCTCTAGGGAGGAGGAGGAGGAGGAAGTGGAGGAGTTCAAGTATCTTGGGATCTTGTTCACACAGTGCACCTTTAAATTAAAACTAAAATTGCAATGAACTGACTTTTAATTATTTTGTTTTTCCCATATGCCCAGTCCCATGTGTCCAACTACTTCAAAATGTGGCTGGAGTTTGCATGTTCTTCTTGTCTCTAAGTTTCTCTCATCAGTCTAAACCATGCACAGATTATATATATGATGCCATATGGTATTACTACTCTTGACAAGATTAGTATCAGTGTGTGAAGCAAGCTGGCACCACTAAAAGCATGTCTGAGCACCAGCCCTGCACCAGATGTTGTTGTCTCTATCTAGACTCCAGGTGCAGACCCCACACAGGTCTGTGCACAGGCTCATGTTAGGGGGGTGATGTGTGGGGGTCGGGGGTAAAAGTTGAGGAGCGGAGCCGACAGAGTGCACTCAGGTGTAAATGATAACAGCGGCCTGTGGCTCAGGAGATGTGTCCGCGTTCATGCTCCATTTTCAGTGTCTGCGAGTCCCACCTCTCCCTCTTTCTCTCTTCTTTTTTCTCTCTGTCTCACCAATCTCTTCTCTCCTCCTCTTCATCTCTCTCTTCTCACTCCCACTCTCGACTTTCTATCCCCTCTTTCTCCCTTAGGCCTTACACTAGGTCTGTCGTGATAACACATTTTGACGCATGATATATTGCTACAGACACATACTGTGATGAACTATAATATTGAACTACTCTATGCCACTGACACAGTAACAATAATAGAGGATAATCCCAGTAATTCAGATTTTAAAAAGACAATCTCATTCACAAAGCAACAAATAAATCAATAATTAGCTACAGAATAGTTATTCAACGCTCTACCGCTAAAATGT